AAAAGAGTGGAAAGGGAAATGTCTTCCCAGAGATCTGTGGAATTAAAGAACTCTCCACCTCCCCTGAACAAAAGAGTGGAAAAGGAAGTGCCTTCCCAGAGATCTGTGGAATTAAAGAACTCTTCACCTCCCCTCAAGAAAAGAGTGGAAATGGAAATGGAAATGCCTTTCCAGATACCAAATGTGATCTTCAGGACCTTTAAAAAATCCTGGGAAAATGCGCCTTTATCAGATGGTGGGCCTTTAAGGCAGGATCAGAAGGAAATGTATTTTGACATTCCATGTAAGTTAGAGAACTTCAGTCCTTTGGAAAAACTCAGCGAGACAAACCAAGTCAGGACCAAAACAAAACCAGTTTACCTGAAGGGAGATTTAATTCCCCAAAGTATTCAAGCTTCTGGAAACCAGAACTCCCTTATAACACCACCTTACTATAGAGCTCATCAACATAGAGAAAAGAAATTGCACCCTAAAATTCATTCTCCTCACTGGATGTCTGACAGTTCATTAGAAACTCAATCCATGCCATATTCATTACCCAGAGAAGAAGAGCTTTCAAGGAAGACATGCAGTCAAGTAGGCTATCCTTTGGCTTCTGCAACTGACTCAAGACTCAAACTAAGACTGGAAACAAGTGATGGGAAAATTATTCTGAGTCTGGAAAATAAAGCTGGAGAGAAGCTCAATGGTGATCTGCCCAAAGAGAACACTATGAAACTTGACCATTCTTGCAATTTTACAGAGAATAAAGAGAAACAGAAAATGCAAGAGGAAGAATATGACTCTGGTTTAAATACACCTCAATCAGTTTTAAACCATCAGCAGGAAAATGACTATTTTAATTTTAAGACAAAAAACACCCAACATTTTTTTTATGCCTGCACACCAGCAGATACTCCAGGGAACAAATCCAAGACCATTCGCTGGAATATCCCCAAAAATATCTCTGGACAGAGTAAGTTTAGAATTCCCTCGGTAGCAAAGTTTTCAAATCCAGAGAAAATATGGAGTTCATCAAAGAAGTTTTTGGAGTCAGTCTCTGCATCCTTTAACTTATGCCCAGTCCATCAAAAATGATGTGAACCAGATCTAGACCTCTCATTGATGAGAAGTAAATGCTGTCAAATTGTGAAGTAATAAAACCAAGTAAAATCCATTTTTTTTCTCAGTGGAGTGTTTAATAAATTGATTGTACAAATCACACATGTTTAGTTGATGGTAAGGGTTGATGAGAAAGACTTTGAGTCTGGGATTCTTAGACACTAGTAGAAAAAACAAATATGATATTGGAAGGACTCCTTGGGAGCTCAGATGATGCTGGTACTCTCGTGGACACTAGTTTATTCTGAATTGGACTAAGGCCACAGAATGCCCATTAAATTCTATCCCTGAAATAAGTCATACATCTAAGTGAATGCCGAAAACTGTAATTGACTTAGAGTTCGTGTTTAAGCCAATTTTGTGTTACTATATCTTACTTGAAATGTTTCTTGGATCCTTGGTTTCATTGGTGTTGATTTTCTCTCCCTGATGTGGATTATGACCCGCCCGCCCCACCCCCCATGGCACACCGTTCTATGTGATTGGCAACTCAGTCTCACTAATCTAATTGATCTAACCCGTGTTGAACCCTTCCTTTGGTTAATTTATTATTTCACTGTGCAAAACTCATGCAGTCCTTTATCACTCATTTGACTCTAGCCTCTTTTTAATTTTTGTGGTCATATATGCCACTGGACATAGTAGGACATAGAAGGACATAGTAGAAAAGAGCATTTTTTAAAATTTATTTTTCCCCAGTTACATGTAAAAAAATTAACATTTGTTTTTAAAACTTTGAGTTTCAAATTCTCTCCCTTCCTCCCTCCCCACTGCCCCTCATTGAGAAGGCAATTCAATATAGATTATACATGTGAAGAAATGCAAAACATTTCCATAATAGTTATGTTGTGAAAGAAAACATAGAGAAAAAAAAACCTCAAGCAGACACCATCAGTTCTTTCTCTGGGGATGGATAGCATTTTTCATCATAAGTCCTTCAAAGTTGTCTTGGATTGTTGTATTGCTGAAAATAGCTAAATCATTCACAGCTGATCATGTTATAATATTGCTGTTAATTTTTACACAGTATAGTTCATTATGCATCAGCTCATGTAAGTCTTTCCAGGTTTTTCTGAGAGCATCCTGCTCATCATTTCTTATAGTACAATAGTATTCCATCATAATCACACACTGGAATTTGTTCAACTATTCCCCAATTGATCCCCATCCCCTCAATTTCTAATTCTTTGCCACCAGAAAAGAGCTGCTATAAATATTTCTGTACATATTAGTCCTTTTCTGTTTTTTTTTTTCAGTCTCTTTTGGGATACAGACCTAAGTCAGGGCATGGTTGGTTTTTATAACCCTTTGGGCATAGTTCCAAATTGCTGTACAGAATGGTTGAATCAGTATACGATTTCACCAATAGTACATTAGTATACTCTACTAACAAAGCACTAATGTCTCATTTTTGCCACATCCCCTCCAACATTTGTCATTTATCTTTTCTATCCTATTAGCCAATCTAATAGGTATGAGGTAGCACTTCAGAATTGTTTTAATTTGCATTTCTCCAATCAATAGTGAGTTAGAGTATTTTTTTTCATATGGCTATAGACAACTTTGATTACTTGTTTGAAAACTGATCATATCTTTCAATCATTTATCCATTGGTGAATGACTTTTATTTTCATAAACTTGACTCAGTTTTCTATATGTTTGGGAAACTAGACCTGATTATCAGAGAAACTTGCTCCAAAATTTTTTCACAGTTATTATTGCTAACTGTATTTGCCTCCATCCTATCCTATCCTGTTTATTCTATTCTCTCTCTACTTTCACCCTGTCCATCCTCAAAAATGTTTTGCTTCTGACTACCCCTCCCTCAATCTACACTCCCTCCTATCACACCCCACCATTTCTCTTACCCCCTTCCCCTCTGACTTTCCTGTAGGGTAAGATAGATTTCTATACCCAGTTGAATGTGTATGTTAGTCCCTTTTAGAGCCAATTTTGATGAGAGTAAGGTTCACTCACTCCCAGTCACCTTCCCCCTCTTACCCTCCACTGTAAAAGCTTTTTCTTGCTTCTTTTCCATGAGATACTGTACCCCATTTTACCTTTCCCTTTCTCTTTCTCCCAACACATTCTTCTCTCATCCCTTAATTTTATTTTTTAGATATCATCCCTTCATGTTCAACTCACAACTGTATCCCCTGTCTATATATACTCCTTCTAACTACTCTAATAATGAGAAAAGTTTTATGAGCTACAAATATTATCTTCTCTTTTAGGAATGTAAGCAATTTAATTTTATTAAGTCCCTTGTGATTTCCCTTTCCTGTTTACCTTTTTATGCTTCTCTTGAATCTTGTATTTGAAAGTCAAGTTTTCTATTTAGCACTGGTCTCTTCATCAAGAATGTTTTGAAAGTCCTCTATCTCATTGAATGTCCATTTTTCCCTTCTGAAGGATTATACTCAGTTTTGCTGGGCAGGTGATTCTTGGTTGTAATCCTAGCTCCTTTGCCCTCGGGAATATTATATTCCAACTCTCTGATCTTTTAATATAGAAGCTGCTAAATCTTGTGTTATCCTGACTGTGGCTCCATGACACTTGAATGATTTCTTTCTGGCTGCTTGAAATATTTTCTTCTTGACCTGGGAACTCTGGAATTTGGCTAAAATATTCCTGAGAGTTTTTGTTTTGGGATTCTTTTCAGGAAGTGATTGGTGGATTCTTTCCATTTCTATTTCTAGCATATCAAGGAAATTTTCCTTAATAATTTCTTGAAAGATGATATCTAGGCTCTTTTTTTGATCATGGCTTTTGATAGTCCAATTCTCTCCTGGATATATTTTCCAGGTCAGTTGTTTTTCCAATGAGATACTCCACATTATCTTCTATTTTTTCATTCTTTCGGTTTTGTTTTATTGTTTCTTGATTTCTCGTAAAGTCATTAGCTTCCATTTGCTCAATTCAGATTTGTAAGGAATTATTTTCTTCAGTGAGCTTCTGTACTTCCTTTTCTATTTGGCCAATTCTGCTTTTTAAGGCATTCTCCTCATTGGCTGAGCATTGGGTTTTTAAGCAGAAAGGTTTTAATCTTGCTTCATGTATGTATTGCTGGTACAACCTTGGGCATGTCACTACAGCTCAATGGGTCTCAGTTTCTATAGAATAAGAGGGTTAGATTAAGTGACTAAGGAGATATTTTCCAAACCTGAATATTCTATCTTTTAGGACCATTATCATGCACAATTTTCATCACTGGTTTTATGCCATAGACCATTTGGAGAGTGTGGTCAATAGAGCTCTGGAAAACAGAGTCAGGAAAACATGAATTCAAATTTGGCCTTAGACACTTACTAGATATATGACCCTGACCAAGTTACTTAACCTCTCTCTGTGTCAGTTTCACCATTTGTAAAACAGGGATAATAATAGCATCTATCTCCCAAGGTTGTTGTGAAAATCAAATGAGATAAAGCATTTGTAAGCATTTGTAAAGCATTATAGCACAGTGCCTGACACAAAGTAGGTGCTAAATAAATGCTTGTTAAAAAAATCTCAAAACAATTTCTAATGTAACAGGAGTTAGATCTGTGCTTTATCTGATGGCATCTCAGGTTGATGCCACCTGAAATGGCAAATTGTCAAGATTAACCAAAGAGACAAAGAAGTAATATGATTTTGAGATACGTTGAATATGAATTTGAGGAAAGACAAAGAAATTCAAGGACATAGACGGATAAGACAAATACAAGGATAGAGAGAAAGTAAGATGGCTTTGGGGGCAGGGAGAGTCTTATTCTTCATTTGACCTTGACCATATCTGGAAACTCCACTAGTGATGAGACTATTCCAGGGACACTGGTCTACTTGCTGTTCCTTGTACAAAGCACATCATCTTCCAGCTCTGAGAATTTTCACTGGCTTCCCCCTCAAAATGCTCTTTATTCTCATCTCTGCCTTTTGGCTTTCCTGTGCTCCTTCAGGTCTCAGCTAAAATCCCACCTTCATCATGAAACCTTTCCTTGTCCTCCAAATTGCTAATGCCTTCCCTTTCAGACTAACATATACACACACACGTGTGTGTGTTGTACCTATATCTATCTATCTACATATGTACATGTATACATATGTCTGTATGTGTATCCACACATATATATTGTGTATGTATATATATGTACACATATACATGTACATACACATTTGTTTTTATTTAGTCATTTGGGTGCTGTCTCCCCATTAGATTTTGAACTCCTTGAGGGCAAGGACTGCTTTTGTCCTTGTATGCCCAGTGCTTAGCACAGTACCTGGCACACAAAGAAGGCAATTAATAAATATTTATTGACCTCACTTGATGAACAGACCTGTAAGAGTTAGAGGGTGGTGGTGGGGAGGATCCTACAGAGCAAGTGAACAGGAAGTAGTAGAAAGAGGATTAGAGATTCCTGCCTATAATATAATGACAAACTGAAAAATAATGGCATTAAGAACTAGGGACACTAAGTTTATGTGACTCTTGGAAACTGTGAGAGGATCAGTATTTAATAATTATGTTTTACTATATGAACCCCCTTTACTCACCTCCTAGAGAAGAACATTTAAGGCAAAATTTGGGGAACTAAAAGTGCTGGGTTTGAAGCATGTATATAGACTATTTGAAGATTAAGTTTGGAAGAAGCTCATAGCTCATATAGTAGAGTTTAAATATGTATGATATGCGAGTGACCAATTACGACAGATATGTGGTTGTATATGGCATTAATAGTTGTCATTCGTATCAGGATCACCTCTCTCCAATGGTTCAATTTGTCACTTCAGTGGAGCAGAAGGGCCATGGTTGAGTGTTTGTTTCTTCCCATCATGTATCTCCAAGGGTGGTACTAGACTAGAATTATGTTTATCTTTTCCCAAAAATATTGCAAAAGTAAGGGTACCATTTCCCTGGTCACTCTTCTTTTTTTTAATAACTAATTAAATTTTCTTTTCTTTTCAGATCTTCATTCTCTCCCTCCTGTCTTCTTTGCTACCCCCCTACATTGAGAAAACAAGAAAAGTGAAACCCCTATTACAAACATATATAGTCAAGCCAAAGAAATTCCCACA